TGTTTTTGCAGTTTGTGTTAAGTCCTTCCTAAATTGTCACATACATAGCTTTGTTTACTTTTCTTTCCTTTTATCCAATAAACTTTTGTTAAAAGGCCTCCAGCCCCACCACACCCGGCACTTTTCCCTGCAACCGCAGGAAGTGCTACACCTGCCCCTACACCTCCCCCCTCACCCCCATTCCAGGCCCCAAGAAGACTTTCCACATCAAGCAGATGTTCACCTGCAAATCTGCTAATGTGGTATACTGCATCTGCTGTTCCCATTGTGGCCTCCTCTACTTCGGGGAAACCAAGCGGAGGCTTGGGGACCGCTTTGCAGAACACCTACGCTCGGTTCGCAATAAACAACTGCACCTCCCAGTTGCAAACCTTTTCAACTCCCCCTCCCATTCCTCAGACGACATGTCCATCCTGGGCCTCCTGCAGTGCCACAACGATGCCACCCGAAGGCTGCAGGAACAGCAACTCATATTCCGCTTGGGAACCCTGCAGCCCAATGGTATCAATGTGGACTTCACAAGCTTCAAAATCTCCCCTCCCCCTACCGCATCCCAAAACCAGCCCAGCTCGTCCCTGCCTCCCTAACCTGTCCTTCCTCCCACCTATACCCTCCTCCCACCTCAAGCCCCACCCCCATCTCCTACCTACTAACCTCACCCTGCCCCCTTGACCTGTCCATCCTCCCTGGACTGACCTATCTCCTCCCTAACTCCCCACCTACACTCACCTTTACTGGCTCCATTCCCGCCTCTTTGACCGGTCTGTCTACTCTCCACTTATCTTCTCCTCTATCCATCTTCTAGCCACCTCCCCCTCTCTCCCTATTTATTTCAGATCCCCCTTCCCCTCCCCCATTTCTGAAGAAGGGTCTAGGCCCGAAACGTCAGCCTTCCTGCTCCTCTGATGCTGCTTGGCCTGCTGTGTTCATCCAGCTCTACACCTTGTTGTACACCTTGTTAGGCACTTCCCTTAAGCTACAAAATTTCTCATAAATGATGTAGTTAATTCATGTTTCAAAAGATTTTCTGACATTTAAAAAAAAGTTACATTCAGAGTACTAAAACCAAAAGCCCATTTGCCTTTACTTTAAAATCCAAATTCCCAAAATGATAATAATATATTGTACACCTTTATCACAATAATATATAATGTTTAAGATGAACATTTTTTCTATACTCCAGTGGATACAAGCCTACTCTGTCCAACTTTTACTCATAAGGCAACTCTCTCATTCCAGGTATTAACCTGGTTACCCCACGTACATCCTTCCATAAATAAGGTGATCAATTCTGCATACAGTACACCAGATGCAGTTTCACCAGTGCTCTCCGTAATCAAGTATGACTTCCCTACTCCTTATTCTGTAATTTCCCTTATCGTGACATTCCATTAACATGGCATATTAACATTCTATTAGCTTCCCTTATTAGTTGCTGCACCTACAAACAACCTTTGGTGATTAATGCACAAGGATAGCCAGATCCTTCTGCATCTCAGAATTCTACAATCTCTCAACATTTCGGATATATGCTTCTTGTGTTTTTATTTTTCCTGCCAAAATTGACAATTCTACATTTTCCCACTTTATGTTCCATTTGCCACATCTTTGCCCACTCACTTAACCTATG